GGTGACAAAGTGAGAGTCTGTCTCAAAAAAAGAAAAGAAAGAAAGAAAAGACTATCAGAACAGGAAACAAAAATTGAACAAAGAGAAATTTTTACTAGTATAAAAAACATCATTCTCCATCTATTCCCCACAATTCTTCCCTCATTAACAAACTTAGGCACAACAATTTTAATCTTTTTCAACATATAGAATAACTTTTAAAAAGATGTAGAAAAGTATTCTGTATTCAGTCAATAGGAGTTAAGAAAAATAAAATACTAAGTCAAAATAGTTCCATGAGTTACATTGTCAAAATGTTTTTAAAATTATTTTTATAGTCAACTAATTCAACAACAACTTGTGAATGGTCTTCACTGAGAAAGCAGAATCCAAACATTCTAAGTATTCTATTCATTTATTTATCAGTTCTTCTTGACCTAAAAGTATATCATAATTTGCTTAAAATAGGAACAAGCAGCACACTTGTACTGAGTGAAACAATCAAGTGCAAGACCTCTCCCAATTCTTCCTGTTACAAGGCATAGAATTAACTTCTCTCATTCATAAAGTAGGGTTTATGGTATTTAATGAAGTTAGGTATTGACAGTCTTTAGCTGAATGTCTAATCCTTGGCCTACATTCAACAAATGTTGACTATAAGAATTATCAACTATTTTTCTGCTTTTCTCTTAGCTGATGGATACAGTTTTGAAGTATCACATCCAGGCACAAATTATAGTTCAATCAGGAAAGACTTCAAGGGTTTTCCCATCTTACTTCAATTCCATCCTACTCTCTCTAGGCCAAAATCTATCCTTTCCTGCATCTTTCCCTTCTTACTCACATAGTTTTCTAATATCTCCTTTTAGATTATTTTCATTTCATAGATGGATCTTCCTTCACAGCTTTAATGATTTCATGTCCCACCTTCACCTCTGATTTAGGTAATATTTTTACTATGCCACTGCATCAATTGCTCATACAATTCCTATTACCGTCTCATGGAAAAGCATGAGATCAGTGGGAATAGTGGCTGCCGGAATATAAAAAGATTATGTTAAAGTATTTTTTAGCATAATTTTATAATTTAATATGTGCTAAATCATCAGTGCTAAAGTTTAATATGCAACAACCATTTAGTGTGACTTCTTCAGTAAAAGCCAAATAAATATACAAACACACTCAGACACACATTCAGACTCATTAGCTATCTACCTACCGAGATTCAGTGTTTCCTTGAACTGTCTGGGAAATGATGCAGTCAATGCCATTGATTTGTATAAAATACCACAAAGAGTTAAAAAAAAATCTGACCTTCTGATTCAGGCCTCACCTCTCCTCACTCAGACCAGAAACCAACGTCTATTTAATCTCTACTCCTTCCCCTCTCCTACCCCATTCCAACCTCATTATTCAAACAGTTCTAATTCCTACAGATTTTACCAACTACATAGTCCTTGAATTCACTCTTCCCTCCTTTTATTCAAACTAACATTTTGCTCTCCCAACTTCCTTCTCAAACATTTCTCTTCTCTGAATGATAGTTCTGGTCTCCCATGCCTCCTCTCTGTCTGGTGCCTTACCATTCTCTTAATTTATTTTCAGACAACCCCTTCTGCTCAAAAGTCTCTCTGAAAGGATGTGTAATGGGATAACTAACACTTTACAATGTGCCATTGATGCTAAATGCTTGACCTGGATTGTTTTGTTTAACCCTCACTAATAGTCTATGGGAACATTCCTATACTGTACCACTTTAGGGACCTGAGGAATAGAGAGAACAGTTAATTTGCATAGGCCTCACAAGGGCAGTGTTTAAGAAATTGAATAAGGCTGAATACTGTGTGTTCTATAAAAGAATAAGAGAGTCCAAGATGACGTTGTCAAGTGCAGTATCAGAATGGAAGTGAGGGAAGAAGCCAGAATTCTGTAAAAGGAGGAGACAGTTGGAGGTGAAAAAAAGTGACAGTGAGTGTACACGAGTTTTTTTTCTAATAAATTTGGCAGAGAAAGGGAAAGAGATAGGAGGGGCCAGTAGCTGGAGGCATGTGTAGCATGTAGGTGGTGTTACTTTGCAAGATTTCTCTTTTAAGAAGATTGAAATGTTTTTTAAAAATTGAAAATGCTAAAATATTAATAAGAAGGAACCCAGAGAGAAGGAATAGAAAACCTGAACATACAGGAGAGAGGGAACTATCCAAGGCGACGTGGTGCTTGAGAGTGCACTCAGGGGCCAAGGGGAACCATACACTTTATATGGAGGATGACCACATGTCCCAGTTTCCCCAGGACAGTTCCAGTTTACACCTGTTGTCCTGGAATAATTATTAATAGAGTCACTCTTTTACTTTCAGAAGTATCCAGGCTTCTACGATAAATTATATGGTCACTCCCTCTTACAAGGAAGGGAGAACATCCTTCCTTGTAATAGGAAGAAAGAAGAGGGGGGTTTTCCGGCGCAAATAAGTGCATCTGTTTGGTGAATGGAATTTGAGAAAACTCTGTTCTCATGGTATCTGTTTCCTCTAAGAAGTAAAAATTAAGTCTATCCTTTGAAAATACTTTTGCAAGTGGGCCAGGGGAAGGGATGAGGACCATGGAAAGATTTTAAAATAGACATCGGATGGAAGAGATGACTCACAAAAGAAGCTAAGATTGGAGGGCTATGTTAAAGCTTTAGCAGAGAACAGGATGGTGAATATGAACTGGTGTCAATCCGCACGGTCATAGGGTTCCCCCCACTGAGTATTGCTCTACTGCCCAGGTATAAGCTCAGAAAAAGTAAAAAGCTAAATACAAAGCCATGACCTAAGTGTTGGAGTTTGCCAGGAAGGAAAATAGGGCAAGATATTTGAGAATATTGCAAGAGAGAGATTGAAGCAACGAATTGTGGACTCTTTATGGACCAACTACAATTAGGATTTAAATCCAAGTACTAAATGTCCCAGGATTTAGACCTTGGATTAAACACTATAGTTCCTGCAATATGACAGACAACATAATGTATAAATATTCCTACTACAAATACCCAGAAATGCTGGGTTAGTTGTATCATTCATAAGACTCTAGAAGTCAGAAATGAATTGGAATTTAAGAAAAACACAGAACAGTAAGTTCATGAGCTAGTTCCCCATTGTCCTGAAGGTCGCAGGAGAGGTGCCCATCTCTGTAACCTGGAAGATTGCTTTGAAGACCTTTAAAGGGGCAGGAGACAAGGTCTTGGGCCCAGGTGAAGCAGAGGTTAGCATTGAGACCCTTGTCTAAAGCTGAGACCCACACAGAGGAAAGATGGGCCAGAAAAATTCCATCCAGAGGCACAAAAAGACAACACGAAGCTTGTCTGTCTTTACCTGAATTCTAGTTGTGAGGTAGGAAAAAATAATTTTTCTTTACATGAAAATTCACCTCTTAGAATTAGACCTTTCCATGGGCTGATAGTGACTTTAATACTACTCACACAGACTAGAGATTCCCAGCTGGAGAAACAAACGTAAAAATTGGTTCCAGGTCAAAAGTTCAACAATAAAAATGTTTAAAAAAGAAGCGCTTACCCAGCTTATGTGGGATTTTCCTAGATGAAACCACACTCAGAAAGATGCACCTATGGAAAACAGCCTGCCTGGGGTGTTAGCTGACGTCACCTGCAAGGCAAATTCAGCTCAGCAAACAATAGAATAGAGACCACAAAATAAATATGCTTCAAGTAATTAAAGACACAAAAGGAGGAATTAAAAAAATCAGGAAAGAGAAAGGCAGTTTTGATCAATAATTCATTATAATTTAAACAAAGACTATGATTGAAATTAAAATTTAATGGCTGAGGAACACTATAGTAGACAGAGAGAGAGATAACTCAGCCTTTAGAAGTCAACTCTTCAGAATTCAGTGCAGACAGATTGGAAAGATGGGAAAGATGAAATTGAATTTAAGAAATAATGAAGGATGTTACATATGAGAGGTGAACACCAAAACACGATGGCTGAGAACTTGCCAACAGTGAAGAAAGATTTACATCTTCAAGGGTGCTGCGTCCCAAGCACCAAAATAAAAAGCAGATAAGTCAACAGTCTCGTGCCCAGATGCATCAAAATGAAACAACAGACACAAAGAGGTGATTTTAAAATAATGATGAGAAGACAGACTACTTATGAGGAACCGCAGTTAGGATGTCAACAATAGAGAGAGGACATGAAAAACTATCACTTTCATCTATTCTTATGATTTAGTATAGTTATGTGCAGGATTTTTTAAACAATGAACTTTAAAAGGTGTATAGACTCATCTTAATAATTTAACTACCAACAATTTACCTCAGGGAATATTCACACAAGTGTATGTTCAGGATGAATTATTCAAAAGATGCTTATAATTGCAAAAAAATTGATAGGACTTACATTTACATCCATAAGAGACTAATTAATGTGATGAAATTCCACAGAGCCACTAAAAAGAATGACCTAGATCTGTATGTATTAAATTCCAATACTATCCACTGTATATGTGACTTAGGACTGTTTCCCATCCCTGAGCTTAAGTTTCTTCATCTCTAAAATAGAGATAAAAGCAACACCTACCCCTTATGCTGCTGTGATTATTAAACAGTTAACACTACACCTGTCATTTTTATTATTTATTTATTTAATAAGTATTTGCATAGTGCTTACCATGTGCAAGGTGCAGATTTAAGGGATTTAGAAATATTGGTTCATTACCAATATAATACGTTCAAAAGTGGAAAAGTAAGTTAAAACACAGTATAACCTATGTGTTAGAGTATGGTGTCTACCCAGGTCTTAGCAGTCATCATCTCCCCATGTCTAGTTACATGGGGGATTATCTTCTATTTTATACTTTTTAGGTGCCATACTTTTTGAACTTTTATAAAGAAACTTTTATAATTAGAAAGAATTGATCCATATATGTATGCTTTGAGAAAATATTTCTGCCAAATATAAGGGTATTTTGACAAAGTGACAGAACCTTTGGTTTGATATGTTATTCTTGCAGTTCCGTTTCTCCACGGTTCTCTGGGGAAAACTCAGGGTTGGAGAAAAGTTTTGTCAAAGGCAGTTCATCCCTACGTTCATTACGTACTCTTAAGAGTTGGCACGGGCTGAAGAATTTGGGAAGAGGGGTCCTGAGGAACACAACATGGATCGTGCCCTTTTTTAAGGAAGGAAGCAATCTGTAAACAGTAAGCCTGAGGTCTACAAGAGGAATTAAATGGAGCCCCCTAAAAGGAGTTCAGTGGGGGGTCAGAAACAGCTGCTGCTGCTGAATTCTTGCCCATCTGAGTCTGATTGTTCGTTCTTACTGCTGGGTACAAACATGAATTTATGATTCTCTAGTGCAGTGGTTCTCAACCTTCCTAATGCTGCGATGTATTTTCATTGCTACGAAGGGGTCGCAACCCATAGGTTGAGAACCACTGCTCTAGTGGTTTGCAGGATCTAGCACAGAAGTTTAGTTTGGGTTCTGATTTCTCAGTGAATATTTTCCACTCTTGGTTGGTGTTATTGACTTATAGCAAACAGGGAAAAGTAAAACAGAGGGTAAGTTCCTATAAAAAAGTGAAGCCCTGCATGGTGAGATCTAGCCAGTAGTGATTTGAGGATGACAAGGTAGACTCTTTTGTTTCCCAAATTTCGTAATCATCACAAATGAAAGAAAGAGTTGTCAGTCTCACAGATGTGGAGGCTCTTCCTTTGGAAAGGTGAACCCCAGTCTCAGGTACCTCTGTGATAACGGGCTTTCCAATAGGTTGCATGGCAGCATGTGATCAGGAGACACCTTTCTGTCTCATGTCACCAGAGAAGTCTATGTCCCATATTTCATAGATTCCAAGATGCTCATTTTTTCAGATTTTACCATACCTGGCTGCATCTCAGTCATTGGTCTCTTAAAGTCCCCATTGTTTAAATTTTTGTGTCTTTCTTATGTATTTTAGTATCTCTGAAAATGAGATTGATCTTATGTGCATGGTCACACCTAGTTTGTGACTTCTGCCTTCACTAGAAATATTACTTCTACTTGAGATCATCTATTTTAATTAGTTCTGCACAGAAATGAAAGTGTCATTTTCACAGGATGATGCCATGTAGCATAGCCGTTTCCTCTGAAAAAAGAATATTTATTGCATATCAGTATTGTTGGGTTGAACACAGAGGCCGAGGGCTTTTCGGGGCAGATAGAAGGAATTTTCTTCCAAGAGACTTTCTCATATGCTACTTTTGGTGTGGAGCATATCCAAGAACAATCCACACTGTTTCTCTCATACATCTGGAATAGTGTTCTCCTGACTACCTCTAAAGGACAGAAAGACAGCTACTCAGTGACAGAGGAACTTGACAATGGGATATGCTGATTCAAATAACAGGGTTGAAATTTTCAAGGACAGGCTGCTATGGTGGCTTTGAACAGCCTCTGAAGTACAAGGTTCAGGTTTTACTTTCCTGTGTTTGACCAGAGGCATATGCCCTATTACAAAAAAAAAAAAAAAGCATGTTTAATGAGCATTACACCACAGATTGACTCTTTTTATTGTAATTATGTCATAATATGATTCTTCGTGTTTTATGGCCAAAGGGTCTTTGTTACATGGTTTTCAATCATTAGAAAAGATTCATTTATAGGGTATAGCTATCCAATTTTATTTCTTCCCTTATATTTTTGACATAACATGATGAAATTATTTATTTATTGGAGGCTGAATGTGGATCCTACTCATTCTATGAATCCTGATTTGTGTACAGAAACTGGTTGACTGTAGAGTCCAAATTATTATGAAATGGTTGGATGTTGTAGCATATTAGCCTTCCTTTGGGTTGCATTTCTGGTATTAACTTGTTTACTCTTTGAAATTTAAGCCATTAAGAAAAGGATTGGGCTGAAGGGAACAAGAGAGGCTACTAGCTGGAGTCAGTATAAGGCTACAAATCAGAGCCAGGATGGATCTAAAAACAGAACGAGGAGGGCAGAGTCCTTCCAGGTAGAGGGTTACTGTAGGCTTCCCTTATGTTTAACAACTAAGTTCCACGGGGTTCAAAAGGCAGCCTCGGGTCTCAAAACACGGGACAAGTAGTTGGGGGAAGAAGGAAGGAAGGCAAGCCATACAGAAAATTTAAGTGGCCTCAGCATGTGAGGCTGCAGCACTTGCCAGGGCCCCTGGTGCTGTCAGCCTGCGGTCTTTGCAGTCTAAAAGGCTTCACCATGAACTCTTAGGGCTGGCCAAATCTAGGCAAAAGCTTTTTTCCCTGAAAATTGTTTGCAGAAATATGCAGGATATAAGGCTGCAAGTAGAATTCCAAAAGACCAAACAGATCATAATTCTTATCTATCTAAATCATAGGTCCTGTCTGTCTATTGCTTAATCGATCCTGTCCCAGAGGCAGATGTCAACAGATGTAACTGTTAAGAGATCAGCATTGTTTTCAAAATATTAACCTTCTGGGTGCCTTCTTTCCTGAAGATCAGATTTCTTTCTTGCATCCACAAAAGTGGAGAGCCATCATGTAACGTTCACATGATATTTTATTTGTTTTATCCTCTGTTTATGCTGCAGCTCTTAACATGACAAATGCCACAGAGAGAGGTATTTAAAACCCCAATGTGTGCTGTGCTATCAGTGATTGCAGTTTTAATAAACTTTGCAGTGGTCCTGTTCCGGCATCAATCCAACTTGTTTGATGCCACTAACAGGTTTGATTTGTGGTCGTGAGTACACTGTGTATTTTAAAACCAGACAAAAGAAAAAATTATAACCCTTGATGTCCCTGGAGGCTATCCCTGGGAACATTAAAATCTGCATGATTTAATAGGGTGCATGCTCTAAAGGAAGACTTTGATCTATTGATTTTGACTCTAGGGAATATTATGTTGTAGTCTCATCTCAAAAGCTCTATAGGGCTTTCAGGGAAGAATGGTAAAGTTCTCCATTAGTTGAAGAGTTGTCACAAATGTTTTCTAAGGGAAAAAAAGATTATCTAATAATTATAGCACTGAACAGATAACACAAGTCAAAGGATAGGTAGGCTCTCTTAAGTCATAGTGTTGAAGAAAACATGCTTTAAGACAATTACTTAGTATAATGTTGACATTATTTGAAATGAAAAGTATTACGACTTAAAATTCGTATACTCTAATTTGAGTAAGCTTTGGATTTTATTTTTCAGGTATAAAAATGAGGCGTACAAGTTCAAGCATACCCACAAAGAAAAGGAAAATTTCCTTGTTGGATACATTAAATATATTATTTTATCCAACAAAGATGCATTGAATAATATTCCATGTACTACATGAGACAGAGGAGGCCATGCCTCCACGGGGCTTAATGTCAAAATCTAACTATTTTGATTTATGCAAAGATATGGAAGCTATTAGCTTTCTACGGCAATATGGAGCTCAAATAATTTTATGTTCATTTATTTCCTGCAAATATCAAATCCATGGCTTGGAGATTTTGTTACATTTATTTCCATGAATAATAAACGACATAAAGCATGACTTATGGAGGGAACTTAACACGTTTGTTCATTAACACAGGCTCTAGCCAGGGGTGTCCAATCTTTTTCTTTTCTGTTGCACATGGGAAGAGTAAGAGTTGTCTTGGGCTGTACAGTAAAAACACAAACACGAATGAAAGCTGATGAGCAGATATTAAAAAAAAGGTTCATGCACACTTTTCACGATATCTGACACCACAGATCCGGAAAACCATCCTCAAATAATCGCATGCGACCCAGAGGTCTCAGGTTGGACACCCAGCTTAGACTCTTGAGAAAACTGCATGGGCTCTAGAGTCTTGAGTAAACTTCTTGAGTTCAAATCTCAAGAAGGCTTCCTACTTGCCACCTTTATAATTTCTGGTAGGTTGCTTTTCATGCCTCAGCTTCCCTTCCTATAAATTATAGCTAATAAGACTACCTGGTAATTGTAGCACTTGCAGGTAGATAGTACATTTCTAGCTCTTACAAGATTGGTACAAAGGAATCCCTCATGTAAAATTATCAGTGTTAATTCTAGGGCTTACACAACTTTTGTGCAACAAAACACTGACGTAAGGACTTGTGAAGACAATCACAGCACTTTTTTTCCATGTGTCATGTAGAAGCAGAAGCAATAAAGTCCAATGGCAAAAACTAAATTTTCATTTAAAAGAGTTCATTTAGCTTAACTTCAGTTCTAACAGAAGAGTAATCGCGTACTTTAAATCTGGAATGAGCCCTCAAAGGCGTAGCTCAATTTCTTATTTTCAAGATAAAGAAATGAGATCAGATAAAGCACTACTGGACCCAAATTAGGGAAGGAGCTTGGATGTCTTGATTCCTAGTCCAAGACATCTTTCTTTACCTACCGTTGATTCTTTCCTTTTTAAAAAATATATTTATATTGTGTAGATAGTACCATGGAAAGTTCCCATGGTCTAGCGTTCGATAGACTGAGTGTTAATCCTGACTGTGCCACTTAGTAGTTATGTGAGGTTGGATAATTTACTTGACCTCTGCAAGTCTAACTCCTCAATTGTGAAATGGGGCCAATAGAACACAGAGTTTTTAAAGTGGATAGAGATGGCCTCTACACAATATCTACAAGGAATCTCTTTGATAGGTATTGGCTGTTGTTGTTATAAAGCTGATGACTTCTATCCAGAGAATACTGCTGGTTAGGCTTCTCAGATTTCAAAAACAGAACGTCAGCATGACCAACTGCTCATCTGGGCTCCAAAGAACATAAATCTACGCTCAATCAGCAATGCTCGGTACCCACATTCTTGGTACTTGTTAGAGATTATAACTTTGGTGTGGCCCCACTGTGACAAGTGACAAAGAGAAATTTATCTAAGGAGCTGCAGGAATACAGGCCTTTAATAGCAGACTGGAAAAGGGCTATTTTGAGTCAACACGTGGGGAAAAAAGTATGACAACATAAAAGAGAAGGCAGCCTTTCTGTACAGGTCAAGCTTACTTTATATTTTACTAACCACAGAAATAGATGTTGGCCAAAAATCTTGTTGAAAATATTGATTGTTCTATTACTCACTGCTCTCAAATAAATCCCAAGCAAAAAATTGCTTTAAAATTGAGTGCCTGGGGGTAAAATGATCTTCCTAAGAAACTAACATTTTCTTTTCCTTCTTGTAGTGAGTACTGTGTACTTTATTTTCTTTTACTTTATTATTAATTATTACTATTTTTTTCCTGCCTGGCATGTATCTCAGAATCCTATTTGAAGCTTACTCCTAGCATCTGTTACACCAAACCCACCAGAAGTCACCTTGTCTCTGATACTAACAGGTTGTTATTCACTTGATTTATGTCCATATCATTGATTGCACCCCCTGCAAAACCTCTTTGGAGAGAATGAAATAACTGAGTTGATAGATTAATGGGACTCTTCTTTCAAGCGGTTCTCAGATATCAGTGCATGTGAGAAGTAGCTGTAGATCTTAGTAAAAGGCATAGTTTCAGGATGCTTTCCCAAGATTTGGATTTGACCAGGTCGGTGTTAGTGCTTTTTAACACCCCAAATTATCCTTCATGCAGCTGATCCATGAACCACACTTTGAGAAACATGGATGTCAGGTTTTCTCCTTAGAATATCTTTATTCCAGATGAGTCTTTTTAAAATTTCAGGAGAGCCCTTTGAGAGGCTGGGGGAGGAAGACCACTTGAGGCTAACAGTTTAAGACCAGCCTGGGAAGCACAGCAAAACCCTGTCTCTCAAAAATTAAAAGAATTATCTTGGTGTGGTAGCACCCACTTGTAGTCCCAGGAGGCTGAGGTGGGCTGAACACTTGAGCCCAGGAGTTCAAGGCTGCTGTAAGTTATAACTGGGCCACTGCACTCTAGCCTGGACAACAGAATAAGACCTGTACCTTAAAAAATAATAATGAGAAAGAGGAGGAGGAAGTTAGTTTATCCACAAGTAATATGTCATTAAATGTTAGGAAAGCTTCACATTTATTCATTTGTTGAGTACAGACCATCTTCTATGTAATGAGGTAACTCCTAAGGCTACAGAGAAAAATAAGATGTGGTTCATTTCTTTAAAAGTTTTCCAATTTAGTGATGAAGGCGGACATGCAGATAAGTAGTTCAAATCACTGAAGTGATGTATTTTCAGTGACAGACATTTGTGTAGGGTTATATATACCAGACAGGGCAGGGAGTGGAGGGTCAGACAAAACTTCTGTGAGATGAGGTCCAACAGGGATTTGATGATGAGTAGCCTGCGGTGCAGATCATATCCCAGAGAGGGAGGAAGGAGGACACAGAGAGAAAAATGCAGACTTATCCTGCAAGCACAGCCTGACTCTGCCTCACGACCAGGGAAGGAGAGGAGGAGTTTGGGACAATATCTATTCGTGGTGCTATGAAAACCAGAATGAACTGTGATTTGACTCACAGGCTAATGTTGAGATTATCTCCAATGCTTCCCTGTAGGACATCATTTTTAAATGGGTAGATACCTATCGTCCTGCTAACATGAGAAGCTACAATTTGGAGGTATTTGACACTATTTGGCTTCCAGAATCTCATTTGAAAGACCACAGAAATGTTTCCAGCCTAAGCCACTTTAGGCAACCAAGATACTATGGTGTTATTTGAGATTAAGGTTATGACTCCTATTTATTTTTCCAACTAAAAGTTCTCATTAGCTAAAAATAAATAAATAAATCTTGCTCTGAGTACACTTCAGTTTATTTACCTGCTGTCAGAGCGCAGGTTATCTTCCTGAGCTTAGGCCAAAAATGTCATTTAAAAGCAAACTAAAATCTTATGTACATGGCTATTTATGATGCTAGCATTAGGGGAAACTGGGTGAATGGTACATGGAAATCCTTTATACCATCTTTACGATTATTTTGTAACTCTAAAATTATTTCAAAATAAAAAGTGTTTTAAGAAGCTAAACTAAAAAAGACTTTTATCTTGGTAATTAAGAAATTTAGCATTTCCTCCCATCAAAAATAGAAAGTAATTTTTTTTTAAAGAATGAAAAAGCAAATCACAGCTAAAATCCAACTTTGTATTGGCTGATGGTTAAACTCTTCATATATTTTCAGAAGCAGCTTTATAATATAGTGGTCGTATCTCCATCTCAGACTGACACAAAAATAAGAAAACTGTGGGGCTCTTGTCTGATTTACTTGGTAAACATTTCTTGGTCACATTCACTATTTGCCATTCATATTTATAAGTCAGAAAAAAATTCTATTATCTCAAAAAACAGAAACGCCCCATCCCAAGCCACTTTAGAGAAATATGATATCACACAGAGAGGCAGCCTTATTTTGAGGGCTGGGAGGAGACAATTGCTGGTTTTGAGGCTGATGTGTATGTTTTCTAGAGAAACTTGCCTTCTGATTCCTTCAGAGATGGAGCCACCGTGGATAAACCTCAGGCATGGCTCTGCTTCAAAGGAAACAAAACGTAAACAGTGGGAGCACACGGGATCAGGTTTCTTTGCTTTAGCTACCAAGAGAGTCAGGAAAGAGAAACCAGGTATTTATTTAGGTTTGTCATTATTATTGCCAGATTTTCTTTTAATGATTGGAAGGAGAAAGAGAAATCTGTTCAGAAGTGAATGACC